AGGAAAGCCAGATACCCCACGGTGACGCTGGGGGACGGTCTGGCTCCCCTTTGTGTTAGTCTGTGAGCTTTGATCTCTCCTGTCGGACAGACACAGACGTGTGGAGTGTCTTCTCTAGATGTTGCTGCTGTCGCTGTGTTCTCAGCCATCCTGAAGGGTGCCTGGACACTTGCCGAGACCTGGAGACGGTGGAGATGAAAGTCACCAGGAGAGAGGCTGTCCAGTCCAGTCCAGTGCAGGTGTGCCAGGGTCCAGGGGGGCTTTCGGAAGGGGTTTGCTGGAGCCCGAGCCCCAGCCACCCTGCCCGCGAGGTCTGCGCCTCTGGGGCTCTCTGCGGTTCAGGGCAGGTGTGTTCGGATGCGGCAGTGCCTCCATCAGTGTCACAGCCACGGCTGGCCTTGGGCAAGTGACAGTCCCCACACGTGTGTGCCTGGACAGGGGATCTGCACACCCGGCTCGCCACTGGATCGCAAGCTGCTGTCAGAAACCAACAGACACGATGCACTTCCAGCACCACGTTTCTGATCCTGACCTTCAGAAGTGAGTGCTTGGAGCTGCAGCTCCGGTGTGTGTTTGGACGCTCACAGCATTAGCCTGACTTCAAGAACATCCTGTGGGAAAACCTTCTGCTCTCTCCTTGTGAGAAAGCAAGCTTTAACCTATTTCCAGCAGACAAAAAAATCCCCAAACACCACCAAAAAACCCCCCACCAAACCACAACACGTAACATCAGGAACTTGATCTACATTTCCATTTCAAATCAAAGTAACAGAACCAGACCTGGCCCCCTATGTGGGGGGAGGCTGGTGAGTCTGAGGGGGCTTTGGTGCAAGAACGTGCCAAACAATTGTTCACATCTCCACAGTGGCCTTCACGTGCGCTGTACGGCACCTCTCCGCATCACGGACAGCAGTGGGCAGTGATCATGTCTCCAATTATAAGTATTTCTGAAGAACATGTGTGATTGTCTGCTTAGGGGGACTTTTCAGTAATTAACCCGGTACCTTTTTTTATCGTCCTCTACGACTACTTAAGCAAAATTTCAAAAGAGATAACTCCTCCCATAGCCAGCACTTGCTGCTTAAAACCTTATCACATTTTTTTCCTTCTGCACAATCAATAAAGAATACTTCTGCCAACTGGAATATTGTTTCTAGCTCCCACAGATCCACCAGCAGCAACCCTCACCCAAAGGGGTCCAGAGATGTCCTCACCCCTTTTAGCCACATAGGAGTAACGATGACAACACACCTCTCCATATTTTCACAGGAAATCAGGGAGAAATCAGGTGAAAGGGTAGTTACTGCCAACATAACGCTGTGCAAATATACGTAACAGTAAATAGTGGGTATGCCGTCAAGCACCCCAGTCTGCCTGTCCTTGCACAGACATTGCTCGCACACGTCCTCCCATTCATTCCTGCCTGCACTCATTCACGCAAACCCAGCACCGCCTCCCGCTGACAGCGTTGATGCTTATTCCTATCAGCCCTTGGCTGCTGTCATGCTTCATCCTGGAGATGTAGCGTGGCATCAATGCTTCTCTTTGATGTGTGAACTGTGCCAAAATATCCTGTCCCTCTGAGCTCTGGATCCGTCAGAAGCCACCACAAAACGCGAGCAGAATGGCCATTGTCTGGAGAATGGACACAGGCGCACCAATGCCGCGTTCAGCGGGCGGGCGGGAAGCAGGCGTGTGTAGTGCTTACTGCACCTCAGCCCTCTTAATTGCTTAACCCGTTCCTTCTCCTGTCTCCTTTTGCTCTCTCAGCCTCACACCTGACCCCCATCCTCCCTTTTGTTGTCCGAGCCCCCCCGTTGTCCCCCTCTCCGCCACGGCAGCGCTGCTCCCATTATGGCCCGGGATTATGCGCCGGGCAGCCTCTGCTCCTCGCCACCACTCAGAGACGCCAACCAAAGACCCAGATATAGTTCACACACGGCTGGGAGGAGGTGGGGACCTTTCTTCCAGTAATTCTTTCCTAGGTTTAATCCATCTTCCTTCAGGAAGGCTTCAGCTTAGTGCTGATACCTAAAAGTTCCCACCAGTAAGTGAACAGGGGAACGGCAGCCACACGGTTTTTCTAAAGCTCTCGCTCCATTGACCCGATTGCACCACAGACGACAGCCCCGGCAGCGTGCTGCAGCACGTCCTTGGTGAACACAAACAACTTGTAGTGGATTTCCTGCAGTATTGGCATGTCACCGCAGCTAACACGTACCACAGAGATTCTGAAGAGGGCAGGTGATGCTGAGGGCTTCAGTTCTGACACTGCTGAGACCCTCCAAGTAAACATAACTGACATCGTCTGAACAATCTCTGTGCTTGTACGGGGCTGATTGCGCCCTGAATTCACAAGTTGCGTCTAAAAACTTGGGCTGACAAATCTGTGCCTATGTCTTGGTTCTCCCTGAAACAAACAAACAAACAAACACACAAACAAAAAGGGGTCCAGGGGTAGATCCTGGGACAGCAGAAACACTCTCATACACTGTTTTTGTTTTCTGCTTTTTGTACCAGAGTGAATTGGACGAGAATCAAATACAGATGGCTGGAGATGACGTGGGTTTGCCAGAAGACCTTCAGAAGATGGTGGCAGAAGATCAGGTGGAGGAAGAGGACAAGGACTCTATCCTGGGACAGCTGCAGAACATCCAGAACATGGACATGGATGCCATCAAAGAAAAGGCACAAGCCACCTTCACCGAAATGAAGCAGGCTGCTGAGCAGAAATGTTCCGTGATGTAGGGGAGACACCACGACCCAAGGCTGCCAATTCCATCGTCTCACCGGGGCTGCAGAGCGAGGGCAGGCAGACGAATGCACTTAGCTCTGTAGCATTAAATGTAAATACAGAAAAAAGAGAGAGAGACAGAGAGACCCTTCTAAACCCTGAGGGGGGTCAAAATTTACGTGCTGTGGCTGGTTAGTGTGAAGTTAGAACTACTCCTCATTTTTAAACATTTTTCCCCATTGAAAAAAATGGCTTTAAAAAAGTGTGTATTGGGGGGAAACTGTGCCTTTTTCCATTTTTTCAGAGTGATCAAAACGCTATGAAATGTGTGTTCTTTAGCAAAATTGTGCTTCTGATGCATAACATATAGGTAACCACTCATTTAATACCGCTTTCAGAAATAAATACTTATATTTTGAATATAAACATGTCTGTTTCAAACATTTTGAAACACACCCAGTATTCAAATGTTGACATTTTCTGCAAAAACTGAAAAAAAAAATAGTTTTGACCATATCTGTACTAAATACAGCAAAAGGCAAAAAGCAAAGCATGTAACTCCGCAGCTTGGGATGAAAATGTCATCGTATCCAGACCTGAGCGGGGATGTAGGATGGCAAGGCTTGGGGGCTGTCAGCGAACCGTGGTCAGTCACAGCACAGACTGCTCCAGGCTTGCTTTAACCTCCCAGCCTCTCAGTCTTCCCACGCAGCTCAGACAGCAACCAGCAGCAGTGGCCCCTGCACGGCTGCTCCGTGTGCCCAACTCTGGGGCTGGGGGTACCCACAAACAACTGGTAGAGGCTAAAACGCGCTCACCACGTCTCTACTAGGGTTGGTGTGGAGCTGTGGCAGAGGTTTTCCCTCCCAGGCGGCAGCGCTGGGGCCGGCAGAGCCGCCCCACCAGCCCCGCGGAGCGTCGGTCTGACTCTGCAGGGGCACAGCCACGGCAGTTACCGTGCGCGATAACCCAACAGCAGCTGCACAGGGGTGGTGGGTACAGCGCCGCTCCCGAGGGGCTCCGATACTCTGTAAAATGAAGGACTTTGTAAGTTCTGCAAGAACTAGCCTGCGAATGACATTTGCAAATGAGTACGTGTAGCACCTTCCTATGGGTTTCTAAGTCTCTCCTTCTCTTTCTCAGTTTCTGTCTCCACCTAATCAAGTAAAGATATTCATTTCAGAGGAATAAATGCACTAAGGATGGTTTGTCTCTTTTCCTTCTTTCTCATTCCCTTTCTGCCTGCCTTCCTTTTCACCGTCTTCTCCCGCTCCTCTTTCCTTTCCCTCTCCGCTCTCCTCTCCCCCGCGGTGACATGCAGAAGCAGCGGTGGCAGTGCACTCCAGATGGGAAACCCCCTCGGTACGGAGCCCCCTTTGCCCGGGCTGGGTCCTGTCCCCCAGGCTCCATCCATGCCCCTCTGCATTTGTACAAATCCTGCAGTTCTCTCCATACTGATCTGTTAATTCACAGACTGAACTGTCATATCTATCAAACACCCAAGTGAACACGCCTAAGGCTTTCGACCTTTGAATTAAAATGTGCCTGGGACACCCTGAAAATCTTACTGAAAGCATCTGGCGCTTTAAAGGAGCTAATTAAATTCGTCAGCACATATAGGATCAGCATTTTCACGGTTTAAAGGGTCAGAGAAGAAAGTACAGTCAGAATCACCAAACAAGTGATTAATGAGATTCCAAAAAACGTCCGGGCTGGCGGAGGCTGGGGGGTGGCTGGCAGGCTGGCAGGGGACGGGAGTCCCGTGCCCTCCCCACCCACAGCGCAGGACGGTCCCCAGTGCTGGCCGCAGCCATGCTGACCTGCTGCTGGGACAGGAGCGGGCTCCCTGCGGCACCATTTTCACAGCCAGAGACTTAACACCACTCGGTGTGCAGCCCCAGAGCTGCGTTGCAGGAGGTGCGGGTCTCTGCCCAGCGCTCCGTGCACAGACGGCGTCTCCCTGGGGTGCTGGGGCCAGGGCGTGCACCCGCCTGGGGGCTGGCATCGGGCTGT